AAGCCTCAAAACAAAACGAGCCATAACTCGACTCAGAAGTTAATTTTGAAGAAAGTTATGGGCGTTTTCAGTTTTACTGAGGCTTAGAAAATTCTAGAGAATCATAAGCCTTGATTAGAGAATCATAAGCCCCAAACGCCCATAACTTTCTTCAGAATTGACATAGAAACTTGATTGTTAAACCAAATTCACCAGAATTTCGAAAATTTCCGGATTTTTCTAAATTTTAAACCTTCAGGGACCTCAACAACGCTGGACGTGGCTTGAATCTGGCGATGTTGGAGCCGAAAACTGGCAAAGTGACAGCGGTGGCACACTTTGACACTTATGAGGATGGTAAGGGCTTGAAATTCTTGATTTTATTGTTTTCCAGCTTTTTCCAATCATTTTAGTACAAAAACCAAGTTTCTAGGCCAAATTTGAATAAAGCTATGGCAATTTTAGTTTTTTACTGAGGCTTAGGATTCTCTAAGCCTCAGTAAAACTAGAAATCGCCATAACTTTCTTCACCTGAATGGTTTTGGCTTTTCGAGACCTTCAAAATGAGTATAATCATGACCTAACTCCAAAAAAATTTCAAATTTCGCTCCACAACTTGTCCACGAGGAGTCCGAAACTCGTTTTCGAGAAAGTGGGTCATTATTATGTTCATTTTAAAGCTCTTGAAAAGCTTATTCTGAATATTTAGATTTGGAATGCATACTTAGTACTTTTCAGTCATTTTGGGTCATCTATAATCAATTTTAAACTATATTAAATCCTATAAAAATTTTAATTTGCAAATCTAGCTGCTGTTAATGTTCTCTAGATGTTTCCAATCATTTTGGTACAAAATTCAAGTGTCTAGTTCAATTTCAGTTTTACTGAGGCTTAGGAAATACTAAGCCTCAGTAAAACTAAAAACGCCCATAACTTTCTTCAAAATTGGCCTATCGACTTGGTTTTTGAACCAAATTAACTGGATTTTTTGAAACTTCAAGTCTCCGTGGACGCGCTCAGCCGGAGGTGGTCCGCGGCGAGCGCGACAGCGAGCCCACCTGTCGCGCCCACCGCTTATCACCTCTGGCTGGATGCGTCCTTGGCTGAAACTCGCTTCAAAATCATGCTAGAAACTTGATTTTTGAACCAAATTGATCAATTTTTTTTAGAATCCAACGGTCTCGTCGAATGGCTTGACGCGATTCCAACTGGCTACATTGTGGCCGTCGTGAGCTTCGACGAGGCCTCAAATCAGCTCTCCGACATGGCTCGTCGTATATTCTACGAAATGGGATCAAGTATGATTGATCGTCTGAAATTCCGAGCCTCCTGGTATTTTGTCGGACAGAAGGGCATTGGAGCGTACACTCCGTTTGAGGACCTGAACATCCCGCAGGGCAACAATTGGGCGAATCCAATACATGCGTCGTTCTGTTTGCCAAAGTCATGTGAGTAAGCATAACCAGCCTGTTTGTCGCGCCACCGAAAAGCTGGATGGTGAAACAGCTGGCTGGTGCGCCTTCAACCAAGTTACGTCTCCACTAAAGACTCTCCCCGGTGACATGAAACGAACGCGCGCGCGCTAGCACACACACACACACACACACACACACACAGAGAATTAGATTATTGTAAAGATTTCAGTACACAAATGGGCGGGACGAAAGGACACGTCTTCTCAGATGTCGTCTTCTTCAGTTGGAGACGTTCGGAATCTTCCAAAACGACACTTTTGCGCCAAATACGACAGACATGAGGAATTTTGTAGTGGTAACCTAGAATGTCTCGGAAAACCATCCCAAAGACGTCTTCTAGGCTCCAACATTGATTCGCCCATCATGCCACGTCATCTGCACGACGAACAGCGCGCCAACGACGCCATCTTCAACGTGCCGATTCTGGTGGCAAGTGGACTGGCACCGGATTCCCTTCGAATGACACTGGAATCCCTATTAAACCAAGAGGGATTGAATACTCAAATGGTTCTTGTCACTTATGATAAGGAATACTCGGAGAACGCGGATTTGGCAGCCCTATTTCATGTGAAAAGTGTAGCGATTCACTCGAATGGAAGTTATAATGGTATAAATGCCTTATTTTGGGACAAAAATTGCTCAAAATAGGTCAAAAATGGCTTAAAACGGGTGAAATAGTCATTTGTATGCTAAAAAACACCTTTAAAACCCCAAAAAACCCGTTTTTTAGTCCAAAAATCAGATTTTTCGTGAAATTTGCAAGATTTGCTCGAATGGTCTAGTGGGATTTTCGACAGAAAATTTGGATCTCGAGGACCCGGGTTCGAATCCCACCGGTGGCAAATTGTTTTTGAAATGTTTTTTAGGGGTTTTCAGGCGTGGGAAATTCGAAAATTGAGATTTTTTGGAATTTTGAAAATTGAAAAATCCCCAAAAACCAAGAAAATCGCATTTTCTGAGATTTTCGACCCGAATTTTCAAATTTCCCGCGCCTGAAAACCCCTAAAAACATTTTCAAAAACAATTCGCCACCTGTGGGAATCGAACCTGTGATCTCTTGGCTCCAAAATTTCGGTCGAAAATCCCACTAGGCCATCCGAGCAAATTTTGCGAAAAATCAGATTTTTGGTTGAAATTGAGTTTTTTGAGGGTTTCAAAGGTGTTTTTGAGCATTAAAATGACGATTTTCATGCTCTGATGGCCGAAATTTCGGAGCCAGGGGGTCTCAGGTTCGAATCCCACCGGTGGCAACTTTTTTTGAAAATGTTTTTTAGGGTTTTTAGGCGCGGGAAATTTGAAAATTGAGGTTCAAAACTTCAGAAAATGAAGTTTTCTTGGTTTTTTTTTGAGTTTTTTCGAAATATTGCGGGGAAGAAGTTTAAAAAGATTTGAATTTCCAGCTCATCTCCTGCTCTCCCTCTCTAACGCCTTCTCGATTTTTCCCGATGCCTCGTCGGTGATGGTAATTGAAGAAGACGTCAAACTGTCTCCAGATTATCTTCACTATCTCTCATCAATCTACGAATCATATAAAGCGGATTCTACTGTAGATTTGGCGTTGGCTTTTAATTCCAATGGTTTTTCATTTTTCAGACAAAAAAAAAGACAAATTCTGAATTTCCAGGCTTCTCTGATACTTCTGGAGACGGCCAAACGGTGTATCGCATCAAGAATCATCTACCAATGGGATCGTATTTGATGAAACGAGATTTATACGAGAAACACATTCGATTGAGAGAATGTGCGTCTTGATTTGAAAACTTTAAAGCTCGAAATCAAATTTTCCAAGAAATTCCGGCCAATTTAGTTCAAAAATCGAGTTTCTAGGTCGATTTTGAAGAAAATTATAGGCGTTTTTAGTTTTACTGAGGCAAAGGAATTTTTACTGAGGCTTAGGGATCTTACTGAGGCTTAGGAATTTTTTACTGAGCCTTGCGATTTTTACTGAGGCTTAGGATTTTCACTGAGGCTTGGGATTTTTTTTACTGAGGCTTATGGTTTTTTACTGAGTCTTAGGAATTTTTAATGAGGCTTAGGATTCTTTACTGAGGCTTAAGAATTTTTACTGAGACTTAGGGTTTTTAATGAGGCTTAGCAGTTCTTACTGAGCTTATGGATTTTTTACTGAGGCTTTGGAATTTTTACTGAGGGTTCGGAGTTTTTACTGAGGCTTAGAATTCTTTACTGAGGCTTACGATTTTTACTGAGGCTTAGGAATTTTTACTGAGGCTTAGAATTTTTTACTGAGGCTTAGGGTTTTACTGAGGCTAAGAATTATACGGAGGCTTAGGATTTTTACTGAGGCTAAGGACTTTTACTGAGGCTTAGAAAATTATTACTGAGGCTTACGAATTTGTACTGAGGCTTAGGATTTTTACTGAGGCTAAAAATCCTAGGCCTCAGTAAAAAACTAAAATTCACTATAACTTTGCTCAAAATTGACCTAGAAACTTGATTTTTTGAGCATTTTTTGCAGTCTGCTGTACAGAACGTGACAATTGGGACCTCCGCGACTCGACTGTCCTAGTACCTGGCCTGTCTCGAATCGAAATCCACGTGGATGAGTTGGAGAAGCAGAATCTGCTTTTCAGAAGAAATCGAACGCAATCGTAGGGGGAATTTTTATTTTTATTGATTTTTTGATTTTTTCAGCCAACAAGACTATCTGATCAATTCGGAATTTGAAACTTCTGAAGAGTATTCGACGTATTTGAATCAAATTATTCAGAATACAGTATGCTTTGTTAATTGGCCAATTAAATGTTTTTTTTTGTTTTTCAGAAAAAATCAATGCCTATCAGTGATGTGATATCAATGGGATGTGAGAAGTGGACCCAAAAATTGGCGCCAAAAATTCAGAAATCGATTCTTCTGACGTATTCTAAAAATTCAGAAATCCAATCGATTTTTGAATGTTTCAAAATGTATTGGACACCGAAAATTCTAAGAAACAATCGGGTTTTCAGGTAGTTTATCTTTTAAAAAAATCAATATTTTTTAAATTCAAAAATTCCAGATTCTCGCTTCAAAATCAATCGATCGAAGTGCTGATCGTGCCTGAAAATCTGAAAATTGACTAATTTATGATTTTTACCCCCTTTTTTCATGTTCTATTGTGATTTTTCCCATTGTCTACCGGTACTTTTTTTGCTGCATAATTCAGTGATTTGATTTTATTTTCAGTTTGTTTGTTTCTTGCCTTTTTTTTTTTTTTTTTTAATTGCTTCAAAATGAGCCCCATATTGCCTAGGCTCCGCCCACTTTCATTTTTCCGACGTGCGTCGCGGTCGGCGCGTCGCGTGTCTTAGTGGGCGGAGCCTAGTCGAGTTTGGGCTCATTTTGAAGCTCTCGGTGAGCTGAGCAAAAAAAAGTTTTGTGGTATTTTCGTTTCGTAAAACAATAAATCCTGTGTACAGAAATGTTCATTTCAAATGGGCGTTGGTTTAGAACAAACAGGAGAGGAAAAGAATCAGAATTTTGATTTTCCATGAAAAAAGGGAACCCGCGATTCGTCGAGTGATAATAATATCTTATACATATTAATAAAACAAAAGAAAAAAATGAATGAGTGAAAGACATTTCGGGGAAGGAGGCAACCGCTGTTTTTGGGGGGAATTACCGGGAATTTTGAATTTTTGAAGACAAAAAAAAGACAAATGGAACAGAACAAAAAGAAGATTTTTAGATTTTTAGGGGAATTTTTGAAAATCCTTCAATGGTGAATAGTTACAAAAAAAAAACAATGGTGAATAAGAAAAAAAACAATGGTGAATACAAAAAAAACAATGGTTCAATGGTGAATAGTTACAAAAAAAAACAATAAATTAGTAGTATTAATTGGGGATTTCATCCCATTACAGACTGCAATACAGGTGGCCAGTAGACGGCTGCCACGTTGACGATCAGTCGAAGATCCGAATGATCGCAGCCGATGATGGTGCGGACACGATCCGGAGTCAGTTGGATCGACGCGGGATTTCTCTGGAAAATCTTAAACCGAGAATTATGCTTAAAATTTCGTTTTTCGAGAGAAAAATCGCAAAACAACCGAGAATTTAGTTTTTTCGCTGTTTGAAGCAATTTTTCCAATTTTTTCGAATTTTTAATTTTCTTATAAAAAATTGCTTGAAAATGCTAAATTTTGGTACAAAAATCGAGTTTCTAGCTCCATTTTGAAGCGAGCTACAGCCCTTGTTGTTCCCAGGG